GGCACTGGAGGAGTATTTAGTATGCCATGTATAGTATTCAGTATTCAGTATTTAGTAGCAGGCACTGAACTTCTGGTATCTCTGTATTTCTCAATTTGTCCCATAGGAACAATGGGATGGCCTTCCCAAGGAAAATGCCTACCTCAGTATGGTGGTGTGAAAATTCACTGAGTCTTTATAGGATCTCTGAGGATCAAAACCATTATGTTTTGGCATGTTCTTCACTCTCTGAACTGTCTGAAAGGCACTTTCTAGCTATGGCTTTATAGATTTAAGGTGGCATAGGTTTATAAGCTTTTTTGTAGTACAAGATATGAAAAGAAGATCTATACAGGATAGTTTCAACTATGGCAGTTAATTTTGAAACTTTTCAAGTGCCCTCTAATAAACCTTAGTATAATGTGGATGGAATGTGAAAGCAATTGAAATGATAAAAGCCAGAGTAATATATTTACAGAGAATAAAAAGTGAAGCTGAGCTGGAGTGAGCTACAGAATCTAAAGCTACTCAAAATGTAGAATAAAAACAGATCTAAGCGAAGATCCTCATAAACATGAATCCTATGTCATTGAAGTTAGGATTATCATTGTCCCTGCGAGTTTGCTGTTATTAATCAGAATTGCATCCACATGCACTTAGTAACAATACCTATTTATACCTGTTTCAAACAGAAACATCTTTGGTTAAAGAATAATCAGTCTTGGCATGATACGTAACGTAATATCTTTCCCTCTATTTCACCCTTTTTTTCTGATGCATTCTTACACAAAGATAGCAAATGCTCTGTGATCTTGGCTTCTGGCAGTAACACCGAATCATTTCTTGGAGGATTTAATAAAGTAGACTTAGTGTCCTAAGATGGAGATGATGCCTACTTCTGTGTATTTATGACACAGGAACCTCAGCAGTGCAAGCTCCTCAAACAGGTAACAAATGACTTTAACGCACCTACACTGAGGTACAAATTCCCTCCCGTGCATCTGTGCTTTACAAGTTCATGACTTCCAGGCCTGCTTATCAGCTCTTCTTGAAGCACTGCTGATTTCCACAGCTCCAGTCCAGATTTACCATTTTCATAGTGTCCTCTCACAACACATCTATTGCAGTAGCCATCACCAGTTATTAGAATTATTCCTTACCTGTGTGATTTCATTAATTACTACATGAGTGCATTGAGCTTCGTATTCTGGGCGAACTTGTTCTTCTTGCTCTAAGTACTCAGTTGTGTCCCATTCGTACTCCAGTTCGGCTTGCCGTCGCTTCCAAAACTCCAAAAACAAAGTAACTGTCCAGAAGATAAACAAAGTGAGCAATACCATGTGAGTGTTGGACGCTGCTTGGCCCCCTGGGCTATAACACATGGCTCACATTTTCCATACACATTTCCACAGACATGGAGTAAAACCCTTATTGACTACTGCAATGGTGAAAATAACTGGATCTATTTCTTCATGCAGTTATTGCTTTGGATATATAGGTACTTTAATATACTTTAAGTATATTATGTAAAGTACTTATATATGATATGGTACTTTAATACAGGTACTTTAATATAGGTACTTTAATAAGAGAAACCTGATGTAAGTGGTGTAAGCACATGCTAAACAATATATATGCATTTATTTGCTTTCTGCCTAAGGCTAGAATATGAGTACTTTGGATTTCATATTACAGACTGCTTTTGAAGAAGTTTATCGTGGGATGCATAAGATAGAAAGTTGTTGCATAGGTGAGGACAAAATGCTGGAGAGTGCAGGACTTCTAGAAAAGTAAAACTCGGTATGCCAAAAATTGCCACAGGGAAAAGCCCATGTTTATTCAGTCTGCAATTTTTGTATGGACAAATTAGCAGTTTGCAGACTATAAGAATCAATGACAGTTCAGGTAAAGTGGCTGGAATACAGCCATCTTTCCTCTTCTGCTAGCTTGAATCTGAAGGGGCTGCAGCTCATTTTGCATTTCCTGGAGCTCAGAAACTCTCTGGTCCGGGTCAGCAATTTCCCTGGACTGTGCTCCTACAACTGGAAGTACTGTGGGACCAGGTACACAGAGGCTTCAGTGATGCTGGTTAGACATCAGTCCAGCCCAACTCATTTACCTTGTCCCGAGACATGATGCAGGTAGATCTGTCAGGAGAGGCAATGACAAGCCCAGTGATAGATGTCAATACCATGCTCCCTAGTGCATACAGATGCTTTATTACTGAAGACAGCGCATCCTCAGGTTAAACGAGTGGTGGAGCTTGAGGAGTTAATATCCCCAATATCCCATCACTGCACTCCTCATTACTCACATTGTTTGGGAGTAACTCTAACCCTAAAAGTGTTTCTTTTTTTAGTGTGGCTCTTCATCCTGAATGATGAAGTATTGATGGCATGCAGTTACAAGTCCAAACACTGAAGGTTATTTCCAAAGTCAGGTGTGGTCAATAAACCCCAGACTGAAGCATTTAAAAACCAGAGAACTCCGTGGTCTGGCCTGTGAGATGACCTTGGCACCGTGCGTAGGCAAAGCCCCAGGAAACCCTCCTCCCTTGATTATCCAGGGGCCTCTTTCACAAGGCCTTCTTGGCTACTTCTTGCTTAGAAGCACAAAGGCCATTCCAATGAGTGGGCCAGGGGATCACTTCAGCCTTTTCCTACAGAACAAGGAGATTAGTCTTCCAGAAACATCTAACTGCTGCCCAGCCCAAAACACAGGAAGATGCAGGCTGTACTGTTTTGCTCCAGCTGCGAATCCAGCTGCTGCTGCGGAGTCCAGAAGTGCAGGGCCTCCTTCTGTGATGGCCTCTGTGCCAACAGCAGATGAAGGGCACATGCCCTGGGGACAGTTCTATCAACCCCAATAAAGAGAAAACTTCAACCCCAATAAAGAGAAAACTTCCACTACCTAAAATAAGCCAGCAGCCAAGTTGCATCTTTCAGAGCGGGGAAGGAGCTGCTGTTGGATTTGACATTTTCCTTTTATTTTGAAACATTTTTTTAACAGTGGAAACAAACGAAGTTTCAGAATCAGGAGATCTGAGTGCTAATTCCACCTTCCATTGGTAATTTGTGGTGTTCCCTTTCACATGTCCCTCAACATTGCATTAGGTACTGCCCAGGTATTCTGCCTCTGAAGCTGTCACCCAGGACTGAAAAGAAATGTCTCCATTGGAGGCCATTTGTTTGTTTAACTGATCTTGTTTGGGGAGGGGATCCAGTGATGGCAGCAAGGGAAGTGGAAGCCATTGCTTCAGGAGCTTTGCCAATCTCATCATGCTATCACGGGAGAAGTGGCAGAAGTATTGGTCCAGAGCATCAATGGATAGATGGCTAATTCTTGAAGCCAAATTCCCTGTGTTTTATAGTGCTTTGAGATCTTTGAAGGGAATATACTAAAATAAATGTGATTACTGAAATTGCGTTGATGATACTGATGCAATAATATATGTAAAAATCTAATATTGTTTTAATTGTTTTGGACCAGGAAGTCTACAAAAGTGTTAGAGCAAGATGAAAATTACAGCTGGAATTGTACCTGGACCATGGGTTATTTGAATTCAGTACAATTTTGAATGAATTTCTGTAATACAACTCATCTCTTTATATAGCGGACTTATGATAAGAATATTAATAGACCTTGTAGCCATCACTATAACCATGCAGCTTAACTTTGTAATTATTACTCTTGGAATCATTCTTAAAAAAACAGTAAGCACAATTTTAATTAAAAAACAAATTGCAAATAAAGTAACTATTCAGATGACAGAAGATGATTACATTAGTATAAAACTTTTTAAAAAATTATTATTTATTTATTTAATTTCCTGCTGGCATTTTGATTTTAATACATATTTATAAAGAAATCTTCTTTTTAAAATTATATGTGCCATCTTATATTTCTTCAAAGCAGTAGCTATTTTGAAGCACTTAGGTCATCATAGGAAAATGAAAATACAATGTGTTTTACAAAGAAAGCAGATTATGCATTCTTGTGGGTACTATTGCATTCATATGTAGGCTGACAACCTACTTTGTTGTACCTGACATAACTTATTTTGTTAATTTTTGTCTGGAACAGTACAATAAAAGACATTTAACAAAGTTGCTGATATGAACAAACAAAACCATTTCTGGGAAAATGAACCTTGCCTAATCCCTTGTGTACAGCACCAAGTGGTTTCACCCATGGGAAACACTGTGGTTTCAGATACACTTTCTCTTCTAAAAGATAAATCTAGTGATTGTAACTACTACGCTTTTTGCAATCAGTTTCTTAAATAAAGATAGGAGGAGAAAAATCCTGGGAAATACAATAAATTACTATTTTTCAATTGCCTTGCACAGACATGCAGCTGTTAATAGGCACAGGCAGCTCCAAAACTCTTTGTAAAAAAAGCCAATTCCTCTGTCAGATGTACTTAAGCATGTGGCTGGCTCCTGCTGGAAGAACATGAGGCAGCTCTAACTCTCAGACTTTTCTCCAAGTCAAATGAAACAAAACAGACACTGAATGTGAACTTCTAGGTTCTACTTTTTTTTTTTTGTTTGTTTTCTTATGATGCTAAAAAAGAATCTGTCTATGTATCTTCTGCACAGCTACCTACTGGTGAATCCTGAGTGCTAGAAAATGAAGTAGATGCAAATTTATCCATGTTTTCTTGGCTGATGCTGGAGGCTTGGCAAAATTAGATGACAAACTATAGTTGTTGAAATTTACTTACCCCATATTCCCATAAATACTGCAAACACCAGTGTTCCAAAGCTATCAAATATACAGAGTTTCTGGAAAAAATTGAAAATAAAAAAAAAGGCTTAAAATATAATCAACCATTTATTTTCTTCTACACTGACCCAGAACAGAAGCTGCTTACTGAACATGTTGATTTTTAGCCTTCAAGTAGTTTAATAAACAATCTTTATTCATAGTGTTTCCTCAATTTCTGTCAATGTACAACACCCTCCAGCAAATTAAGAAAATTAAATGCTAAAAATATAAGCCAAATATGCAGCAAGAGGATAGTAAAATGATGTGCTATCAAATTTCCTTCCATCTGTTGCATAGGAAGAGGGAAAACAGTGCTTCTGGTCTGGGAACTCAGTATAGAGTTACGTGGTTTTGATACAACCTCAAAAGGGCAATGGCCATGTCTGGTTCTCATGAGCAAGATGACAACGAACCAAGCCAGTCAGTAAAAACACACTCCAATGAGATACCTCTGTGGTCACAATTGGCCTTTTCTTTCCATCATAGCCTTTTCCCTGTATTCTTATTTCTTTTACCGTTTATCTTAAGCAACACATGAAAGCTGGGCAAAATATTCTTGATGAGTAGCTGAAAAATTGCAGTTTTGGAGTGACTGAATCTATGGAAAGGAATGACTAAAGGCTAACATTAGTGAGACAAGTTAGTGGAGAAAGACAGACAGGTTTCTCTAGTCAGGAACTTAAGAGCAAGAGTCTGGCTGTGTCAGGGCTAACAGGACACGGCTATGTCACAGCTTCTGTCACGGCCCACATCAGCCTCTCCATGTACCCGTCTCCTCCTTGACAACATGGGTCAAATTCAAAGCATGGATCCAGATAAGTTCTTTGGGGAGGGAGGGAAGGGGCAACATTTAGAAATGCCAAAACATACTTTAAACATTTCCTTAGCAAAATTGATTCAGAGCTACTGAATCAAGATTTTAGTAACTCAGGATGGGTTTTCTTTTTTTTTTTTCCCCCCAAAAGGAAGAAGTACTCCAAAATAAAGCCAAATGTCTTTATTTTTGATTAAAGCCCCCTGTTATTCCCATATAAAATATTTGGGGGCTATGTGAAATTAAAACCAAACTTTTCCATTTTAGATCAAAGCGGAGCAATTCTTGTTGTTTCTACTTTTCAAAATTCAGTTGCTGTATCAAAAGGCACAACTATTTGCACAGTTCTAGCAATTCTGCAGTACATTAGTGACAGAACAACATTGTTTTATACATAGTATTAAAGAAAGTGCAAGTAAAGTTCAATAATGTGTCTATAAGCTATAAATGTAGTTACCTTGGATGATTCACAAGTGATGGTGAGGTTCCAGTAGGTACATACTTTATCACACTGAGGGCACATTATGATATTACCTCCTATGCTGGGATCACATACTTCTTGGCTAAAAACAAAACTAGTCAGTCACTCACCAACACTAAATGCTTTAGTTCCTTTTCGCACATGAGGACAGTGCAGTACTCTCAGGGAAATGACAAATAATTTACCAGTGATCTGCTCTCAAGATCTCCTGCACCACCCCCCCGGCAACACATCCCCATTTCCATTCTTAGTCCTCATCTGAAAAGCGAATGACATGAGGGGAAAATAATTTCCATCCCTTGTATGTGGTGGCAATTCTCAAAACCCACTCACATTAAAAATAAAAGTCTTCAAAGATCTCGCACTCTTCAACAGGAAACCCACACTTGCATGCTCACATGGACTATCATAGCAAGTCCGAGGGGAGAAGGAAGAGGAACACTGCCTACCAGGTCAAGGAATAGCTGCAGAACTGAAATGGCTACTTAGTCCCTGTGGTCTTCTAAGGAGGATCAGATTGGAAAATGTGCAGAGGAGGCCTGTTAGGATGATTCAAGGAATGGCAGATCTGTTTCCTAAGAGATGGCAAAAAAGTTTGGTGTATCTAACCTAGTACAGTAGAGGTTGAAAGGTGATGTAATTGCCTTCCATAAATACATCAGTGGGGTAAAAACCAGGGAGGGAGGTGAACTGCTTAACTAAATGATAAGGCTAGATGGGTATAAATTGGCCACTAGAGTGGACCTTTGGAGCAGCCCTTCAGCATGTTTTGTAAAGACGAACACTCTTCCAGAAGGGGGTATACAGAGTGATGGCTTGTAGAGGATTTGGCACAATGACTCAGCAAAGAAACACCTGGGTCATTGTGCCATGGTTGAATTTTATCATGTTCTGATGAGGGAGTCTGTGTCATGACAGACAAGTAACAAGTGATAGGACAAGAGGAAATGGCCTCAAGTTGCACCAGGGGAGGTTTAGGCTAGATATTAGAAAAAATTTCTACACTGAAAGAGTGATCAGGCATTGGAACAGGCTGCCCAGGAAAGTGGTGGAGTCACCATCCTTGGAGGTGTTCAGGAAATGTGTAGATGTGGTGCTTAGGGACATGGTTTATTGAGTTAGGTGGTGTTGGGTTGGACTTGATGATCCTTGAGGTCTTTTCCAACCTTATTGATTCTATGATTCTATGACCGTGCCTCTCCTCCCAGTGTATCCTGGGCAGCCAAAGCCCCATGTGCTGTTGTTCTTCCTCTAGTCTTCTCTTGAAACAGAGGAAAGAAATTTGGGGGGTTTTATCAAAGTCTTTGGATATCTCATTTAAGGATTACCACAGTGAAAATGATATGTTACAGCACTTTCTATTGACTTCTGAATGCCACTCTTTTCTACACTACGTGTGGTGAACCTAATGCAAAACATAAATGAAATGATAAATAACAAACTCCAGATACCTATCACTGTAATGGTCCATGGACATCCATTTCTCTTCTAGCTCACATTTTATGCTTTTGCCTTCAAATCAACAACTGTTGCTGTTTTCAAACCCTTTCATTTTGCCTCTTTTATATGCAGTGTCTTGCAAACCCTATACAGTCCCCCTCTGTAGGGGTCTGATCAAAATTTCCTGTAATATCAAAATAGGCCTGATAAGGTACCTCCATGTGCAGTTGTCCTTTGTCAGGCATCCATACAGAAAACAGCCGACTCCTACAACTGCAGCCACGATCAGCATGTTAGTGTAAAAACCCAGCCAAGCAAAGTAGATTCCAATTTTCTCTCCATAGTATTTCCTGTGGAGAGGAAAGGTTTTTTTCTGAAATGCAAGTAAATTCACATTTCTGTTTCAAATGGGTCATCATTACATGATGTCAACATGTATTGTCATATTCCTCTGGTTTGCACAATGGCATTGCAGAAGTATTACAGCAGGGTATTTCCATCACCCCTTTCATGCTTTTATAAGAGGATAGGAAGAGGAGGGGAAAAAAAAGGAAAAAGAGAGAAAGATCATACTTTGCAGAGAAAAATTCTAAGTGGTTACCTTTTCATGAATTGGTTTATCATAAAACCGTGCTCAAAAAATGCCTCATTGCATGAGCTGATGCAGGTGTATGTACCTGCCCTCAGTACTGAGCTGTGCCTCTTTGACATCCCCAAAACCAGAGCTGTTATGCAGATTCCCTGTTCCCTCTGCATTAGTCCAGCCCCACTCACACCAACCTGATGAAATCCAGGGGCTGCAGTTTGAAAATATTTTTAGGATGAGCCCATTCTCTGTAGAGAAGATATCGTTCACTTGGGCAGCCAGGATCGGTTGACGGGTGCCTAAAACTAGACTGCAAACAGAAAGAGCATGAGAAAAAAATACCATTAACCTAACCAGCATAGATCAGCTCTCATGCCTGCAGACTCCATGCCATGAAGACAGAGCCTGGAATAGCCTTTTTGCCCAGTCTCACTGCAAGCCAGGCAACGGAGAAGGAAGGTGACTCCAAGAGTGCACCAGGATTCAGGATAGAAAGTGGTCAGGTAGGCACTAAATGCTAAAGCAAACACATTACATATGTGAGCTGCAAATAACAGAGACTCATCATGACCTTACATCTAAGCACATGTCAGCATCTTGGCACTTAGGAACAGAAAATAGAAAAGGATCCATTCTAATTATAGAACAGGACTGAATTAAAATGGATTTTAAGTAGCTCTAACATGCTAACATTCTTTACTTCAAAATAATATTGTACTGGAATGAAGGCTGGATAGTCTGAGGGATAAATCCAGGGCTTCTAGTCTCTGTTTTAAACTTAAAAGAGAGCTTGCATGAAGATACTCCTTGTGGTTTATACTAGGTTATTTGAAAACCTATTTCAATAAAGCCTATTTTATTTGAGGGAATTTTCCATTCTCTATCTATGATGCAAAAAGACAAGTGACATTTGTAGAAATCTATGGGCTACTTTTGATTTTCAGAGTAGCTGTGATGTATAATTTTAATTGTATAGAAAGACAGACATTAATTACTGGGCATACTGAGTCCAAATTCCCCATGCCATGATAGAAATAGCCTGCAAGGCAGGCTTTAAATCTTCAAAAGGAAACCTTAAAAATGGATAGTCACAAATCATATTAATTCCATCCTGTAAAGCTTTGGGTTACTTACAAGAAACATGATTTGTCTTGATTCTGCTGTAAAGATTTCCTTGAAATCCTCAGAGGCCTCCTGAATATTTTAAGCAGAGTCCAAACAGCTGAAGCAGTTACCACCCCTGGCCTCCCACGTTCTCAATGTTTTCTCAACAGAACACACCTCAGACACAGAATGGTGGCTCTGATGGGGAGGAGGTGTGGGAGTGTGGGTATATACTAGAGACAATGCAGAAAATCAGCCCTCAGTCTTTGCTTACTGTATCCCATCTGCAGCCTCAGACAGAGCTTTTCTTTAGTCAAATACTCTGAAATCTGTTTTCTTTTTTCTCCTTAATTTTATTTTTCTGTGTTATTGCTAGCCATTGTATACAAAGCACTTTTCAGATAACTTGGTTCTTTAAATGCTATATTTTAAAAATAAAAAGCTTTAGAAGTGTAGCTACAAAGCTGGATTTCTTTTATTGCAAGGTGAAATTCAACACAGTTAACCTCTTCTCCACATGACTCTGGCATCACCTGTGAGGTGTGGGTCTGCCCAGACAGAACTTTCCTGCACAAACGCGAGATTCCCTGCGCATATGTCACAATGCTTGGGAACCGTGGGGGTGTTTCTCGCTGTGTGAGACTGTCACACATCCCAAGACGAGATTTGCAGTCTACATCTTTATTAACAATTTTGATATTTGATAGGAATTTTAATACTGGAAAACTGAATACTAAAAAAAAAGGGACAGTGTTAAAAATTGATTTAGAAGTGATGATACAGTGTGTCATGGGAACTATCACTCAGGCCAGGCACTTTACTGAACTACATCTCCCAGAGTAAACTAGTTAACATCTCCTATATGAAATACATTGTTTTTCAGTTATGGAGCTACATTTTTAACCAGCAGTGCTTTGGAAGAAAATCTCTTTAGCCAGACTATGATCTATTCTACTATGTGGATATAATAGTCAGTCAAGGAGCAAGGCAATCAGTAGTGTTTGTATATTTTGATATAAGCTCCACAGATATAATTCAGACCTCTATTTCAAATTATTTTTTAGTTACAAGCTCTGGACTTACGTCATGAAGGGGAAATGCTGCTTTGTAGATTCCAGCATCCAGTAATTTGTTAATGCCAAACTTTTTCACGTTGTTTTTGGTTGCATATTCCACACGGGACAGGATAAAATGAACCTGAAATTTATGAAATATTTTACCTGAAACTAATCATACATGGCCATACCTGTTTCAGCATACAATTGAGTCAGGAAAGGGTAAGCAGTGCAGACAAAACTAATTGCACAGAGTATATCAACCATTCAAATCCCCCCTTTAAATTCAGGTGGAACAGAAACGGGACAAATGTTTTCCTTCTGGATTGTCCAGGCTGTTTCATAAATGACACAGAACTATTGCATCCCAAATATTCCTGATTTTTCAGGATGCTTTCATGAAGGCAATTGCACTGATTTGATGACAGGGATCTTTTATTTTTAAGATTAAATTGGACTTACAATTCGGCTTCTAGTTGCAGGATTGAAAAATGTGTCTTTGTCTTGAATATAAAAGTTGGACAAATGTTCCTTTTGAAAGGGAGCCGTGAAAAACTCTTGCTCATGTTTGATGATATTTTCATCCACTCTGAAGAGTCTACTAAACCAGTTGAAAGCTGACTCTCGGGTTTTCAGGTCATTGAGTTGCAGAGGCATTTTGATGTGCATAACCTCAGCGTATGTGCACAGCACTTCCCAAGGTGCATGCACTTTCAGAAAAATAAGTTTTTCATCCAAAACCTAAAATGAAAAAATATTTTAAAATGTAAGAAAATGAAACAAAATGGTTTTTCATAACATTTCTTAAATTATCCTGAATTTTCTTTCTCTTTACAGCTCACAGGTGACCATTGTCCATTGTAGCGAATGTATTAACTTCCATAAAAGCATGGACACGAAGTGGAAACACTTGAGCATATGAAGGCATAGAAAGGTATATAAAAAAAGACAGCTAAATGTTGCCTTAATGCTTAATGTTTACATCTCGTCAAAGTATTTTTCAAAGTGATTTAAGTTCAACAAAGCTTCCCCCATATGAGTTACTTAGGCGCATTTGTACTAGTAGCCTGGCAGGGCAGCTGTGGCTTTGGGGCTGTCAGTGACTCCCCAGCAGCCCAAGGACAACCCCAGGGTGAGATGATTTGATGGAAGCAGGCTAGGCACCCATGGGTGCTCCTGGGCAACATGAATTCCTAGCTTTGTAGGGAGAATGGGGAGAAGGAAAGGGAAATCAGCCGAGAGTACTGAGAAAGACAGCATAGGGCACGTTTGTTCACAGTTTCAGGTTCAAACTAGCACCAGTATGCGGCGGGAACCCTGACTGCCACTCTTGTCTCCTGTCTACACGTCACCTGTAGACCTTCTATTGATGCCCTGGATTAGTGAGTCTCAGCCACACGAAATTACATTATGCAGCTCGTTGGTTCAGGAACACCTGGCAGATATCTCTGATCTAGCCTGGAGAAACTCCAGTTTCAGTCATGATCATGTCAGAACTATTGAAAACTGTAACACGTAAGTGTAGCAACAGGTCCATGTCAGACATCCAGCAAGCGGTCTACTTTCTTACGAATGTGAAGAGCCCAACTACATCCTTGGACATCCAGCAGGAGTTTTCACTGCAGAAATCAAATAAATACCATGATGCTGTGGATGAGTCTAATTTGGGAGGAAGGAGCAAAGTGAACTTTTCTGGAGCCCACTGTAGATTATCAAACAACAATAAATTTGGAATGGAAGTGATTGTCCTGTACCACCCCAGGAGACCTGGCTGGAGCACTGCAGCCCTGCAGGGCAGGAAGGAAAGGGGTTCTCAGGTGCTCTAACCGTCTCTGCAAGAGACACCAGCTCTGGCAGCTGGTGTGCATTATCATAGCACTCTTGAAGTGCCCACAGGCAACTTCATAGCCCAAAATATACAAAGAATGATAGTTACAACCATTTGCCAGGCTTTGCAAGGAGCAGGGTCACGTGCAGGAGCCCTGTGCTGCTCTTCTGGCAGGGGCATTCTGCCCTGGACGCCCACTGGCTTCCCACACGTCCTACACAGCCAGAGCAGGGGAGAACCTCTCCTCAGAGTGTACCCAGTAATTTTTATCTTCCAAGTGCTGAGCAAACACAACCTATTCACTCTCCCTGCTTCCCATCTTTTACTTTGCAGAGGAAGGAACAGACACAAAGTTTAAAATGCTTTGCATCAGATCATAGAGATGCTACTCATGGATAAAAAGGTTGGCCTTTTTCTCCCGAGATGGGAGAAAAGTTATGGTAAATTAATATATCCAGTTTCCTTATTCCCACATGGGCAGCTTTGTACTCAGACACAGCCATTCACACAGAGGAGAGCACTCACCGATCTCGTTGCTTCAAGTTGCAAGCCATTTTTTATCAGGTTTGATTCATACGCTTGTCTCTTCCTCTGTTAAAAGGTATTGAACACTGTAAAACATCTGTTCCAAATTTCACAAGTATGTATGCATAGAAGAATAGGATTGCCTCCCAAAGTGAAGAATCGTTGGGTCTTTATGTCTATAGCCCACTTGAAAGCTACTGTGGTGATATGTACAGTCTTACATACTAATCCAGATCGGGGCTTTCTGTCTGATAAGCAATATTGCCCTCAAATGCCATTGTGGAGAATTCACCCTCTTAGTTTCTGGTATGTTACAGAGGTAAAAACATGACCCAAATTTTTAATTTTGAGAGCAACTACCCCTGAAACTTGTGATGTCCTCCATCTTTAGTCACTAATTGAACTACTAACAGCAGCCTCCCTCCCCCCATCAATCTGCCCTTTAGAAAATCTTCATCTTGAAGGCTTTCCATCCCACTTTTCTTCCAGCAACCTGTAACTTTATTCTTCTTTCCCAGTAATCATATGGGTTCACACAGTGGTTCAAACTGTAGTAGTCCTCTACCTTTTAGTTCATGGATAAGCATCCCCAAAGGAAGCTGAGAGCTGCAGCACTTGTAGGTGCTAGTCAGAGCATTCATTGTCCCCAGAAGGACATGACAAGTTTTCCTCAGTAAAGATGAAATTCATGGATCACTTTAATTTCACTTCACAGTACCAGCACTTGGCAGGCAGTGAGTTACAAAAGATCTGAAATGTCTGGAATTTCCTTCTCCAAACACATGACCTCCCCCCAAAAACACACAGAGACAAGCAGCCCCTCTCCCTTCAAAATACAAAATATACAACTCCATAAGGGATTTATATGAAATTTTGAAACTTCACGTGAAATAGTCCGATTTAAAAGCTATCTGCATCAACTGGATAGTTCCCCAAAGAGCTATTTGTCTATGAAGGTCAAGGCTTGCCAGCTCTCCCTGGCCTACAGACTGCATGTCAAAATATCAGTATGGGTAAGGGGGACACCTGTAGGCAGCTGGGGCCAGGGGGTAGGCTTCTGGGAGCAGTTTGCCAGAAGGAGACGACATTAATGAATTGGCTGATGGCTTTATTCCTGAACCAGCCTAGGGTAGGCATGCAGCGAGGTTTGCAGAGTGACTTGGTGATACTACTTTCTTACTCACAGATTGTTTTGATGCCACTGGCCAATTTTTTGGTTGTTTATATGCCCTGTGCTTAGGGGATTTGTGCCTACCACTACAGGAACCTTTTGGTTTTACAAGAAGAATGGTCCGATGGTTTTTGTATCTGGTCCTCTATAGTCAGACTAACTTCCTTAACTCCTGTGCTTAAGATCCAGTCCTTTTGCTACTGTGAAGGACCTGAGTCAATGAATGACCCTTCACAGTCTTAGGAACTTCAACAGCTATGGAAACTGGTCTTCCGGACGAGACCCAAGACCCACCCACTCTAGGGGGCAAAAGCCAGACACTTCAGCAAAAATCTTCAGGAATTCCACAGGAAGAGGTCAGTTGTATCTCCACATAAGCTTCACCCAGTTCTTTAAAGACTGTTGTTAAGTCCATAAACCAGAAAAAATATTTTTCCAAAATTCTAGCAAGTCTTGGAATTAATAGTTGTAAAATTGAATAACATAAACAGCCCACCCTATTTGTATTTGTCAGTGCTCAGCTACAGCACCTGTTTGTGGCAATGGTCATGATGGACTGATTTCATATTTTGTTAAAAGTTATTTCTTTTATTTGGGGTTTGTGCTTTTTCATTCCGGTGAATACCACTTTCTTCTCAGGTTAGGGACTGTCCTGGGTCCAGCTGGGATAG